TTACAAGACTTAGGGGTACACATTAGCATGAGGCGTTAATTTGGATCTTGGATGTCCCCAAAGGGTATGTAAAAGCTGTCACCCCTACCCGTGGCTTCATGTTACTGGGAGGTGGTTAAACTTTAAGAGGCGGGGCCTATTGAGAGTGTGTCCTTGAAGGGGATAAGGAAATGCCAGCCCCAACTTCTCCCACCTTCTCTTTCTCTGGGGGCATCTGGTGACGCCTCTGCCTCCCTACACCCCCATACTGTGATGCCAGCTTTACTACAGACCATAAACTGAAAACCGCAACACTGTGAGCCAAAGGAAGCCTTAGGGATCTGCATCCCAAGCTAGCCTCAAACTAGTTATGCAACCTAGGGTGACCTTGAACTCCTGATCCTCGTGCTTGCAGCTTCCAACTGCTGGACTTTGAAGGGTCCACCCATTACCCAGCTTGAAACCAGCTTTCGTTTTAAGGTTTGATTATCACTGTGTATGTGCATGTTTCTATCATGGCTTGTGTGTGGTGCTTCCATTCCACCTTTACGTAGGTTTGAGGGATCTCAGGTTGTATGGCCTCCCAGATAAGTGCCTGTACCCACTGAGCCATATTGCCAGCCCCAAACTAGTGTTTATGGAGAGAAGATACATCATGCTTTCATGTTGGTTTCTGTAATTCTAATTTGGAGTAACTGAAGTTTCTTTCATTTGATTTTATATTTTTATATCCTGTTACACTGAAATTTTTGGCTCCTAGCATTAGAATATTTATTTGAATCTAGAGATATATTGATCCTCAGAATAACCATATTGTGCTATTATTAACGTAACTATGAAAAGATTCCTTTGCCATTTCTTACTGTTTTAGAACACATCCCACTAAAGATACACATTCAACTATTTTTTTTTCCTCAACAACTGTGAAAGTCACTTAAAAATAAAGTGATCTACTTAAAGTCATTTAAAATAAGCCCTTCTGTGTAAGCCGCCAATTACATAATCAGGCTGCCTGGCTTCTGTGTGGCTTCACTTTTGATTGGTGGACTGAGCCTTTATTTGGGTTAGTTTGTCACAACACATGACGTCCAGCTCAAGCGTGCAAAACATATGAAAGTTCCCTCTTTGTGATGCTGGGGCTGGAACTCCGAGTTTGCGTAGATGGGGCGAGGGCTGCATTCCTGAGGTGCACTGAACCACCTCCCTAAAACATGGATTCTTCTGCTTTGGTTTTAAGACAAGATCTTGCTATGTAGCCCAGGCTAGCCTCTTAATCATCAATGGAGCCTTCTGCCTCAGCCTTCTGAGCAGTATCGTCATGGGATTGTGCCACCACTCCCAGCCAGAATGGGTTCATTTAAAATCAGACCTAACCTAAGGGGCTGGGGAGATGGCTCAGGAATTAAAGGTGCTGGCTGCTCTTGCAGGAAACCAAACATCGGCTCCCACCATACACACGGGGCCCACAACAACCTGTAACCAGTTCCAGGGGATCAGGGGTTCTCTTCTAGCCTCTGCAGGCTCCTGCACACGTGATGCAGAGAAGCTCACGAAGGCACACACACATAAAATGCATCTTAAGATGAGACATAAGCTGGGTGTGGTGGCATACACCTTGATCCTAGTGCTGGGAGGCAGAAGCAGGGGGTCAGGAGTTCAAGGCCTTTCTCTGCCATCTGGGGAGTTTGGAAGCCAGCCTGGCTTCCATGAGACTTAGTTTTCAAAGATCAAAACTAAGATAAAATATGTGCTCTCAGGGTGCTTTATTTTTAAATACTTTAGTTGTTTCTTTAAGATGGTCTTACTTATTATAGCACAGAATGGCTCCTTATGTGATCCTCCTTTCTCAGCCAGCCAAGAGCTGAGAATGTAGGTGTGTGAGACTATGTCCAGATCGCAGAAGAGGAAAATGAAGACTCACAAAGCTCCTCTGCCATCGCAGCAACTTAGCCCCTTGTCTCTAAAAGCAGAGATGTGCACAGGGACCTTATTGCCCGGTGGTCACAACCAAGCCACAGTGACAATTTAAATGGGTGTTTTCCTTTTATGGAGATGGGAGTCTCAGGCTGGCCTCAAACTCACCATGCATCAAAGATGACTCTCCCGCCTCCTCCTCCCAAGTGCAGGGATTATGAAACCACACCAGGGCTGTGCTGCACTGGCCACCAAAGCCTGGGCTGTGTGCATGCTAGGCAAGCACTCCGCCAAGCTACATTCTCAGCCCAAACGCACTTTAAGAACCAAAACAGAACATGGTCTGCACAGAAACCCAGATGGCTTATATCATTCCTTTCTTTCACATAGCATTTCAAACAGACTCAAAACAGGATGAGGATCATGCCTTTCCATGCAAGAGCTCACCCTAGAGCTAAAGGCAAAGCTGGATGGCCAGCCATCTCCACTATGGCTTCATCACACCAGGCTCTTGGAAACAGCTTCAAGATGCTCTTGGGGGCATTGCTTTTTCAAGCTTGCAGGAAGAAGGGGGACATCTCTTCCTTGCCAATCAGCAGGCTTTGCTTTCTGGAGGCCACTTCCGCTGTCCTTGAACTCTTACCTTCCTGGGCCGTCTTCTCCCAAGTACTGGTATTAGAGCCAGAGCTACCACGACTACTTGAAAATCTCCTTGAAGAATCTTCCACCAAAACATTTCCTGTCCCAGACTACGTCTGAGCTGTCAGTTCCTCATCCAATGCTCTGAGGGAAGCACTCTCAAATTTGGCCCTTTCCCAGATTGTGTGTGGTGGTTCAGCTACTAATCCCAGTACAGAAAGGCTGGGGGGTGGAAGGACCTAGGGTTTAAAGCCAGTTCGCCATACGCAGCAAGACCCTGACACAAAAACAAGGGAGCAGGGTGGGTGGTGACAGTGGTAGGACTGAGGCAGCACCATCTTGGTTTCAGAGTGGGCCATGCTTTACAAATAAATTTGGTCCTTTGCAAAAATCAGCCCTGAATTCAGAGAGCCCACTTTGCATCTGTGTCGTGTGGCTCCCCAGGACGCCACTAGGTGGCACCAGAGGACCTTTTGGCTCACCAGCCTATTCCCACAGTGAGGTGCTCTAGGACTGACTGACTGGAATGTTCCCAACTTTGCAGTGAAGCTCAGCAGCACTGTAATGTCTGGGGGCCAGAATGCGGGGAAAGATGTCAAGGACGGGAGGGAAAACACTCTGACCAACCATCACCTGTGTTTATGCACCATGCTACTCCAGCATGAGAATGCCTACGCCAGCCTCCAGGGCTGACTGACGCTATCAGCAGAAACCCCAGTCACTCTGGCCTCAACCCACGGGCTCCTGCATGCAAGGCAATCGCTCTACTACTAAGCCACTCTGTGGACCTGTAATGGTACACCAGTGCCCCTGAGGCATGGGTATGACCCATGCAGCTGTCAGCCTCACAGATGTCATACCACCAGGGCAAATCACTGCTGGAGTAGTCCGAGGTGCAAAGGAAGAGCAGGGAAAGTGCGCCTACCCACCAGTCCCCAGGAGTTTGTCTGGATTACAGAATGTCCACCAACCTCAAGCCCCACCAAGGGCCAGGTGATATCCAGGCTGGAATGGCTGACAGAGAAAGAAACCCCAGCTTACGAGGTGTTCACCAACCTCACAGGCTGGCGAGACCCAGGACTGTGTTTCCTAGGGCTGCTCTGAAGAATTATCAAAGGGCGGAGAGGGGACAGAACAAGATGTTTCTTCTTTCACAGCTCTGAAGGCCACGGCCACGGCCCCCTCTGAACTGCCTGAGCTAACTCCTGATGCTGGAGAAACATTACTGCTTTTAGAAGGGACCAGCTAGGGTCTAGCTGTACATGGAGGATGCTTGTGTGAAGGCTTAGAAGGTCACAGGCACCAAAGTCCTGGCTAGCTCTGGGAACAGGCAGGATTCCCTGTGGGTCATATGGAGGCCGAACATAAAAGGTGATGGCATACTTCACAGGAGACAAAACTAGAGAGCTTGCAGCTCAGCCCCTTCATCCTTTCCTTGCCTCAGCTCATCTCCTCCTGTGTTCATCACCAACCTAAAACCTGAACAGTCCAGATTACTACCTGTTTTCACGCTGTGAAGTACGAGGGCCCTTCACCCCCCACCTGACGTCCACGGCAGTCTCATTTAAGCTGAGACTGAAGATGACTGAGATGGCCAGTGGCCAGCACCATCTTGCCTTGGGTAATGCTATGAACACATCTCTCCTATGAGGACTGGTCCAGATTCTTCCTGCCATCTCATTAGCCCCTGGCCGACTCAGCAGGAAATGCCTTAGGAGCTCATGGGTCAGATGTCAGGGTCTTCTACCCCCTACCTACACTGGCCCTTCTGGCTAGCATCATCTTAGCCCCTGAGGACTGGTGATACAGGAGACTATTCAGGGCAAACTGTGTAACAGTGAAACAGGTTGTGTGGCGGGCACATCACAGCAGTACACTGAGGTTCCCCCGGGTCTAGGCATATGGATTCTACGCTGCCGTTAGCTCTGCAGCCAAAGAACTTAGTTCTTGGGTGTGTCTGAGAGTTAAAATTCTTACCAAGAATCTATAAAAGGGGGTGTTCAGTGTGGTGAGTCATCAGGAAGAGTGAGGCAGGAAGAGTGAGCTGAGCCTGAGCTGTGCTGTGAGACCCTGAGTCCTCAAGCAGCCAGAGGGGAAGAGGGCACCTACCTGTCAAGACCATACTGTAAAGAGAGGTGGCTACCCAAAAAGTCCTTAGGATGACCTCCCCTCCATCACTTCTGCAGAGTGGCCTGAAAATGGCATGGCACCAACAAATCCACAAAACAGCAAAGCTCTGGCAAGGCCTCATCATGTGGGAGAGTTCCCAGCAAGCAGCAGTGAAAAGGCTGGGCTGCAGGCACCACCATCCATTCAGACTGGGCACCACAAAGAGACAGCGTCGGGGTGGGGGTGTCTTTCCACTCCTGAGACACAGTGGATGACACTCCCATAACTTCACCACCACCTCTGAGCACATCCTGGGCAGTGATGGGTCGATGACACACACGGAAGAGTAAACACTACACTGGGAACTTTCGAGCTTTTAAAACAGCAACAACAAAAGCTTTTAAGTGCAAAGAGGAACACTTTGTGCCTGTCCACTTCCAGGGTCTGCCCGTCTCCCCTCATTGCTGAGGAGAGCAGGGCCACAGCTTTCCCGTGGGTCTCCACCGGAGGCCACCCTGTGCTTCACTGAGGTAGATCACCTGCTGTTCTCTGCATGCTCCCCGGAGGACTCCAGTCAGCAGCCAGACAAGGTAGACAGGCAGCGATGTGGGACAATTGTCCCAAATACTGCGTAGATGGCAAGGGTGAAGCACAGGCCCTCTTGGAGTGCCCTCTGCTAGGCCTGCTCACCGGCTGCACTTCCGCTGTTCCCCGAGCCTCTCCCAGAAGTCTGGGTCTCTGAGGCACGTGAGGCCTGCTTAGGCAGGCGGATGGGGACGTAGGTGTTGGAGGCACAGTGCTCCTTGAGGTACTCGCCCCCCTTTTCTTCATAGTCCTTCCTGGTGACCCAGGCTCCACTGTCTTCCAGGTGATCCAAGGCCCAGTCTCGGGCACCGTACCAGGCATCCAGCACAGGGTTCGAGGCAAGCTGAACCTGCAACAAGCAGCAGATGCACTCTGAAGACATGTCTCCTTCCTGGGCTCTACAGGCTCGGCCACACCCCATCTCTGCAGCCTCAGAAACACACAGAAGATGCCGCCGCCCAGGTGATGCCTCTATTGTGAGAGCAGCCATTTGGGAAGAGCACACAGTTGCACAGGGGCGGGTTCACACTCGCACACATCTGTGTGTGTGTGTGTGTGTGTGTGTGTGTGTGTGTGCCTGAACAGGTGTCTGTGTACCATGTACATGTCTGTTGAATGTGTATCTCCAGGAACTTGATCTACAGATCAAGACAGTTGTGAACTACCATGCGGGTGCTGGGAATCAAACCCAGGTCATATGCAAGACGAGAAAGTGCTCCTAACCACTGAGCCATCGCTCCAGCCCCTACAATGTTTTTTCTATTTTTACTCTGGCTCATTTGAGTTGTCTGGGACATGGCTGACTTGGTAGGGTACCTGCACAGCATGTAAGTGGTTCTAAGATCCACTGACAGCATGGTAAAACAATCACAAATACAGTAAAAACAAGTGAAAGAAAAACACGCAACTTGTCCCGTTTGTATCATACGGCAGGCTGCGCTCAGAGCCTCAGGCATCCAGACGAAGGCTCCACACTGAGCCTGAAACCGTACGAGTACATGAGCCACTGCTATATTCGGCCTGTGGCCTTGAAACTGAGGGGCTGCTGCCTTGACACTCATTGTCCTCCCCACTAAGAATGGAGCAGGAGGGTTGGGGTGGGTTATGGGGGCAGCACTCTTACAACCACGGCTCTCACAGCCATCACAGGAGACTTCTGGGATTGCCAAACTGGAGATCTTGCTTCCCTGGCAGCCTCAGGCTCACACTTTGAAATGCCACTCCTTGGTGTCGACACTATTGTTCCCCCTCTCTGGCTGCCTCTCTCAACTCTGCTGCCATGTCCTTCAGCTCCCAAGTGACCTTAAAGGCTGTGATTTGGTTCTGGATCCTTGGGGTGACCCACTCTCCCAGGGGGAGCCCTAAGTTGCTCAGACAGCACCTTTCACCTTTTCCGAGCGCACAGCCATGGCTATGGCTTCCTGTGTGCCTCACTGGACACTCAGCTCATCCGGGGACAATTCATTTCCTCCACTTCTCTGATCCAGCATTGCTAACCTGGGGAAATCTCACACACACCCCCCCCCCCAGCTTTTTGAGAATTTGTCTATGTAACATAGGCCGCCTTGAGTTCACTCATTAGTTCAGGCTGATCTCATACCGTCTTCCTAAATGTAAATTAATCACATGACTCATGACTCCTGGCTCCTTCCTGGTCCTGCATGACCTAAAATAACAGCTATGCAGAAAAGAGCCATCAAAGCACCTTCCCGGTTACCAGAATAAGAAGGCATGTCGGGAGATAAGCACAATGAGACAACAAACACTGTGGGGAAATGTTCAGATGCTCTGCCTGCGGGAGCGACGGTCCCCTTATGCTTAGACACTCTTTCGATTTCAGAATATGCTCAACACTGTCAACTAATAGACGAACAGAGCACTAAACAAGCAGGATTCTCATCCTGCATCAGTTGAATGAGGCTTACAGACAAGGCCAGAACTGAACCGCTGCAGTAGATGACGGAATTGCCAAACCCAGCCATTCACACCTTTACATTGGCAGTCACCACTAATCAGCCAGTACCCGGGATGCCAATCACTAACAGTGGGCGGGAAGAGCAGTTGGTACCTGGAAGGAGGACTGGAAGGGCCTCATCTCCAGCAGCTCCTTCTCCACTCTGGCCTTCATGCCCGGGTACATCACGTTCCCACCAGTCAGGAAAACGTTCTGGACCAGGGTATCCTGAATGGCCTCTGGGTACCTAGGAGAAGATGGATGTTCCGTGTTGGCTACTGGAACACACTGAAGACAGACTGAAAAGGCAAGCTCACGGTGCAGCAGTCAACCTACCCTTGTCTACACGACAAACTAGAAGGGACTAAACCAGTATTTTTGTCTTTCATTCACAGCTCTACAGGATGCAGCCCAGAGATTAGGATGTTTCTGCTTCTGTAATACTTTTTTTAAAGCTGGAGGATCATTTTATTAAAGCTGGGGAAAAAATAAAATAAAAATAAAAAAAACCCTGGAGGGCAGGCAAGCTGTAAATCCCAGCAGCTGCGTGGAGAAGGGAGACGGAGGAGAGGGAGAAAGCCGCGCCTTTTGGGAGAGAGTTAGCTGTAGAAAGCAGGGACGAGTCTGTGCTGAACAATGAGGAAGCCCAGAGTACCATGGCAACCAAATACCCACTGTCCCACCCTGTTATAATCAGGAGCAGCCAGAGAGATGCAGGCCACTCTCCCCGTTCACCCGACTGGAGAGAAGAGGACTCAGTGTGGGAACCACCTGAGTGAGTGGCAGGCACACTCAGATAGAAAGGTAAGCTCTGGGAACATAGCTGCCTGCAAGAATGGGGATGTCTTTCCTAAGCACTGCAGGGCTGGGGGAGGGATGTAAAACTCACTAGACTCAGTAGGCGGTGGTGGTCCACACCTTTAATCCCAGCACCCAGGAGGCAGAGGCAGAAGATCTCCGAGCATGAGGGCAGCCTGCTCTACAAGATTAAGTGCTAGGCCAGCCAGGGCTACAGAGAAAGCCTGTCTCAAAAAAACAAAAACAGAAAAGAAAAAAAAAAAAATCAGTAGTCTTGGGGCTGAAAAGATAGCTAACTGGTTATGAGTACATACCACAAACACTAGTTCTTCCAGAGGACCTGCATTCAAGTCCCAGCACTCACATGGTAGCTCACAACCATCTGTAACTCCGGTTCCAGAGAATTCAGCACCCTCTTCTAACTTCCAAGGCACACAAAAGTCCATGTACATGCATGCAGGCAAAACACTCATAATCATACACACACACAAACACACACACACAAACACACACAGAACTTTTTTTTTCTTTCAAGAGTATGCACTCCTTTTGCAGGGGACCCAAGAGGTCCCTGTACTCGTGTGTTCATACTCTCCCCATAATTAAAAATAAAATAAAATTTAAAAAAAATACTAGTTTTGCTAGGTATGGTGGTGTACATTTATGATCCCAGCTACTCTGGAAGCTTCAAGTTCAAGGCAACTGAATATACAGGGAGACCCTAACGCAAAAAAATACATAAATGATCATCAATGCTTTGTTTGGTTTTTTGAGACAGGGTTTCTCTGTGTAGCCTTGGCTGTCCTGGACTCGCTTTGTAAACCAGGCTGGCCTTGAACTCATAGCAGTCTACCTGCCTCTGTGCACCACCACCCCCTGCTATGATCAATGTCAAGTTTCATATGATAGCCGGGGCATATTTCCTGATGCTCAGACTCACAGGTTAAGTTCACAGAGCTCACAAATGAACAGAGCTTGCCCCTGCTCTGCCTGCTGGCCTGGGTCAGAGCCAGCAGTGCAGAGAGCTGCAGCCCTCCCCAGTGCCCATCAGCGGCCTTTCCCATGGCACACCCAGGAAAAGACTCAGAAGAGGATGGGGTGGCGTCACCCGCTCACCTGTCCAGGACGTAGTGAAGGGTCTCCGCAATCCCTGCCTGCTCTTCTCCTATGAGAGATGGCTGGAAAATAATCTCAGGAGCACGAATCCTTTCTGTCCCAACAAACAGCTGATGATACGCTGCCAAGTTAAACACGGGCTTCAAACCCAAGGTTTAAAAGATATTTTTAGACCATGATGACAATTCCTTCAGCTGTCAGTTTTCTCAAATCACATTTCCTCCTCCAGCCCAGCTTCCTGGTCCAGGCCAGAACCACCTTTCAACTCTCTTCACTTCGAGGCTCCACCTTCTACCTCTGCTCAAGCTCAGAGGGACAAATCCCCATACGGTGTGCCAGGCCCCAAGTTACAGGAGGGGACTCTGGAGAGCAGCAATGAAGAGGCCCAAAGGGAAAGACCCTGCCTCTACCCACCCTGGTTTAGCCCCTCCTCCCACCAAGGGCTCAGCTCCACTCAGCTTATCCTGCTGCCCCCATCACTACAGGGGCATGGAGCCCAGAGGGATGATGTTGGCTAAAATGTAAGGGAGACCCTGAGAGCCAGCGTGCAGGTCTGGAGATGCCTCTGCTGTCAGCGCTCACATCCAGGGTAGTGCCGGCCCCTCAACCCACTGCCAGGGGAAGAGCCTCTGGCTGAGGCTGAGAGTAGCGGTGGCCCTGCCTGAGGCGCAATGGGCTTCCAACGCTCCCAGAGAAGAAGACCGGGCCAGTCACTTATGCAACCGGCTTCAAAATGTATGTGTGGTCTTGGGGGCGGTAGTCAAACCTGGACTGTGGTGACAGGCTTCTCTGCTTCAGGTGTTTCCTCTGAGAACAAGGGCTCAAAATCATTGATGTTCTCCACATCCTCCAGGGAGGGCTCCAGCTGCTCCAGGTCAGGCGTCTGAAGACAGAACACAGCAGATGAGCAAGCACCAGAGGACCTGATCCAGCAAAGCTCGGTCCAATTCTGTCCTGAAAAGGGGTGGCGTCTCACCCAACGTTCTAAACACCGTGCAGAAACCAAAAAGCAATTCACACAGGGGGTGGGGAGAACAGCACAAGTCAACTTTTAGTAAAGACTAAAAGACACCAGCAGACAGCTTAAAGGGTGAGAGTGCTTGTCGCAAAACTGACAACCTGAGCTCAATTCCTGAAACCTACATGGGGGAAGAAGAGAATTAACTGTCAAAAGTTGTCCTCTGACCTTCATGTTTGTGCGCTACAGCATGCACACACACCAAACTCTTAAAAACAAAAAAAGACCAGGTGTGGTGACATACACCCCTAATCCCAGCATGCAGGACGCAGAGGCAGGTGGAGTTCGAAGCCAGCCAGGGCTATTGAGTGAGACCCTGCCTCAAGAAAAGGAGAGAGAGAGAGCGAACTAACAAAGTCTAAAGTCTAGCCTCTACAGCATTCTCATGAGAGTAATTCTGCACTTCAGGTCTGTAGGAAAAATGGACAAACTCCCAGCTACATTACCAACTCGGCCTTTACTCCATAGTTGGGTTTCATATCTATTCTAGAGGGCCCACACCTAGTCACGTCACTCTAATTGAATTACACTGGTGAGAATACTAAAAGGGAAAATAGGTTAGCCGGTACCCTGGCAGAGCTTCCCCGGGGCGAAGAACTGTAACTCATTCTACTCACCAGCGGCCAGCCTCCGACAACAAGATTACGACAGCAAATCTGCTATACAGAGAGCGACCTGTGTGTGGGTGCAGGCATGCATGCACACATGGACAGATGACTGCACATACGTGTGGCCAGTGAGAGACTTAAGTCTGGTGTCTTCCTCTACTGCTCTCCATCTTACTCAGATACATAAAAAAATTCTGTGTGTGTACATCTGTGTGGGGCCGTGTGTGTGTGTGTGTGTGTGTGTGTGTGTGTGTGTGTGTGCACGCATCTGCCCAAGGAGCCCAGAGGCATCAGGTTTCTGACTTTGGAGATAGAGGTAGTTATAAGGCACCCAGTGTGGATGGTGAACAATGAATGAACTCAGGTCCTCTGAAAGAGCAGTGTATGCTCTCAACAGCTCCTCCACGTAACTCTCTGACAGTCTCTCCCTGAACCTGATGCTCGCTGGCTAGGCTAGACTGTCTGGCCAACGAGCTCTGAGATCCTTGGGCTAGGATTTTAGGCACATTCTACTATGCCCAGCTTTTTGCCTGAATACTGAGGATCCAAACTCAGCACTCATGCTTGAGGGGCCAATGCCATGTCTCCAGCCTCCTAAAACAAGTTTTGAAATACACCTAAAGCTTCCCAAGCCTGCAAAGATCTGCTGCATGTCCGCAGAGCACAGACAAGGTACAGCAGTGCTGTGGTGAGACAGAGGAAATGGTGAGAGCCCGGCACATAACTATCTGATGGACAATTAATCTGCACATAATGTAGGAAAAGAAACAGAGAAAAGCAGCTTTCTACTGCTGAGATCCCACCTTCAGCTGCTCCCCAGCGGCCCGAGATCCCACCTTCAGCAGCTTGTTTTCACTCTGGATTCAAAAGCCCTCACCTACATCAGACCCTGTGGTTCTTTTATGTCTTAAGAATACGTTAATGAGCCTGGTGTGGAGGTGCACACCTGGAATCCCAGCACTCGGGCTGTGAGTTCAAAGCCAGCCAGGTCTACAAAGGAAGTCTAGAACAGCCAAGGCTACACAGAGAAACGCTGTGTCTCAGAGAATCAAAAAGGGCATGTTAATGGATGAATGTTCAACAGACAATATGGTTCCGAGTTCCAGAAAGCCAGCTCCGGTCTGAACATTGCATGAAGCCTGGAAAAGCAAATGAAAATGCCCAGAGATTCAGTGGGAGCTGGTCTTCAGGGTGCCTGGTGACAGTGAGGGGAGCAGAGGTCCCTTCTTTCCTAGACTGTAGTAACCAGAGCATGTATATGCATAAACATATACACGAATATACAGATCACACCTAGTCCCGTGCTTATGCAAAGTAAAGTTCTCAACACCGACCACTGTACAGTTAGAGCACTGATCAACGAGGAACTACAGAGCTACTGCAGTTCCTCTGCGTCCCACGGTATCCACACTCGGCCAGGATTCAACTCCTACGTAAAAATGAAGACATCCTTCTCGCCGGTGTGCAGCTGGGCTTTCCTTCAGTAAACAGCAGCACTGCACCTACACACTGGGGAACACGTCTCTGTGTGCAATGGGGTCCTAAGCAGAAAAGGTTTGAAAAGCAGTCACTGGAGGCTGAGACTGCCTCTGTGGTGAAGCTCCAGCTTGAGCCTGCGCTCCAAGAGCAAGCTCCACACTGACTCAAACAGCTGTGACGTCACTGATGAGCGCTACCCTATACCCAGCATCAATCGCACTGACCGTGACCTTTTCACAGCACCTATCATCCCCAAACGCCGGAAATAAAGAGTTTAAAGCAAGCTGACTGGGGGGGCTGGAGAGAGAGCTTGGTTGGCAGAGCGCATGCCTAGCATTCATCGAGCTGCCCGGGACAACTCCCAGCACGTCAGTCATACGTGGTCGCAGCACACACTTAAAATCCCAGCGCTGGGGAGGTAGAAGCAGGTGGATCAGAAGTTCAAGGTCATTCATGGCTACATACTGGGTTCAAAGCCAGCCTAAGCTGCTGTATGAAACCGAGTCTCAAAAAGAGGAGGTTGAAGGCTGGAAAGATGGCTCAGTGAGAAAGGCACTTGTCATCAAGCTAAGGACCCAGGGTTTCCCTCCCCTGGCTCCAGGCACCTCTGGCTTGCTGTCCACCACATCCACCTCCAGGTTGGCTTCAGCCTGCAGGATTTTCTGTTTAGCCTGCTCCACTGCCAAGGTGAGCTTCTGTATGTAGGACTGCAGTTCTTCCGGGGAGTCCATGTTCAGCTCTATCAGAGCTTTGTGGAACTGATCCATCTGGCCATCCTCGAGGAGCTCCTGAAACCAGAGCAGTCACAGCCCACTCAGAGACAGGCTGGGCCGTCATCATCAAGGGGAAAGGAGCTCGAAAGCTAGCAGAGAAGTGCGGGGTCAGGGAAGAGGCCCTTAGGGTTCCTGATTCAGCCCCCAGCTCCTACCACAGAGTCACACTGGCCCTCCTCTCCAACTCTGGGCCAGCTAGCATCACATACTGGGCTCAGCACCATCTAACTCGGCAAGACCAATCTGCGGTGACAGACATCACAGATGCTGCCACTTTTGAGTGGGAAGGAGTCACTAAGAGATGGTGGCGATGCTGCCTGACAGCAGGAACATGTACTCCTGTCACTTGTGGCACTCACTGAGAGGCCCACCCTAATATCTGTGTACCATGCATGCTGCACTTACGTGGAAAAGTTCAAAAACAACAAAATAAGCCAATAAACAGAGCTGGCGTCCATGGCGTTCTACGGACGCCTGCTGCTAATCACTAATCATCTCGATGAGTCTGGTCTCTGGACCCCAATTCCGAAGGTGACTTGCCAGCCAATGCGTGTTATGGCCAAGGGAACCAGAGGGGAGGGCCACTTCCTGGAAGCACCGGGCAGAGGAACGCGGGGGAGGGGGGGCAAGCACCATGCTGCCTTCACCTGCACATACAGCAGCCGCTCCAGCCGCTCCTGGTCCAGCTGCAGCTTCTCCTCCCGCCGCCGGGCGTTGAGCTCCTGCAGCCTTCGAAGCTGCTGCTGTCGCCGCCCCTGCTTCTCCTCCGCCGTCAGCGTGCTGCCCAGGAGCTTGCTGGAGAAGGGGAGCTGCATCTTGTGGACATGGTTCTCGTAGTAATCAGGGCATCGCCACTTCTGCAGCTCTTCAAAGAGACAGTTTGCGGGCGTTAGGGAATGAAAGCCCTGTGAGCAGCGAGGCAGAGAGTCGATGCTCGGCACGCGTGATCACACTCAGAACCCAGGCATCACAGACCTGTGCCAAGAGGCTCCAGACAGAAATCACACAAGGAAGCTGGAACAGCCAGAGTGAAGGAAAAACAGGTTTGATAACTTGAACTGAAAATCACATTGCCACCCTGAAGTGATCAACATTGAATCTGCATAGATGAGGAAAAGCTACACTTTGCTATATTTTCTAGTAATCACCTAAACAATCCAGGCACAAGGGGAGAGAAAAAACAAAAAAATTGAAATGGAATCTAAAGAGTCTAGCCAAGCATGGTGATGCTCACCCTTAACCCCAGGTATCGGTTCCAGGATCTCGCAGTTCAAGGCAAGCTTGGAGTAGACAGTGAGCCCGGGCCAGCCGCAGCACAGAGTGAGAGCCTGCTGCAGTGAGATGGAGAGTAAAGCCTTTGTGTCTGGCTTTGAGAGAAATGATTCAGCAAAGCCTTTGCTATGTTTGGGTCAGTCAGTAGAGGCCAGAGAACTTGTTTGGGGACTGTTTGAACCTTGAAGAAATGTTGTCTCTCTGGAAAATCTGTACCTGGTGCTGTGCGAGTTTGCAAACCTGGCAAACCTGGAGCTCTTTTGATTACAGCTAGAGCTTTGTATGGGTCGTCTGCCCTCACAGGCAGCAAGAACAAGAAAACTTTGGTAGCTGGGCCCTTTCCCAGCCCCAAGTAACCTTATAGATGTTTGAATAAAGTAAGTGGAGCGAGCTGGCCGGACGTCAGTCTTTCCCCCTCTGCTCCTGCAGAAAACGAAGGCTTAGCATCTTGGCGAGCTTTTCTCTCTAGAGAGCTTTTCTCTCTACTCCAATACCTATGACCAACATCAAGCAATACCTTGCCTCAAAATAAACCTAAAAAGGCAAGAAAAAAATAAATAAAATAGCAGTTCTAAATTCAAACACAAATACATGGTCTCAGCATGCACAGGATGCTGCTGAGGAGCACAAGGCCTGACTGCCATCCCCAGTGGAATGAGAGAGTAATAAACATTTATTATAACTCAACAACTGTAAATGGAATCTAAAGAGTCTAGCTGAGCATGGTGATGCTCACCCTTAACCCCAGGTATCAGTTCCAGGATCTCGCAGTTCAAGGCAAGCTTGGAGTAGACAGTGAGCCCAGGCCAGCTGCAGCACAGAGTGAGAGCCTGCTGCAGTGAGATGGAGAGTAAAGCACCTTAATTACAGAGGCAAAGTGGATCAGAGGTAAAGGGATGCCAGTCAAGAGTGGCAGGGCCTGTCCTTCTAAGTACTTGAGTAGAAGCAGACGAATTAGGAGTTTAAGGTTATCCGCAGATATCCAGCGAATTTGGAGGCTAGCCTGAGCCACATGAGACCCTATTGCTAAATAAACAAATGGAAAGATATGCCAATGTAAATTGTATTAAAGAAAGCTTGGGCTAACTTTTTTCTTTTCTTGAGACAGATCTCACTACGGATCCCTGGCAGGCCTGGAACTTAACAGACCAGGCTAGCCTCAAACTCAGAGATCCACCTGCCTCTGCCTCGATCTCCCTAGCCCTGGTACAATGACTCTGAATGTTCAAGCAGTCTTCAAAGCAAGAATGTACATACACTGCTAAAATAAAAAGGAAGGCCACACAATGGCAAAAGGTCAACTGACAAGAAGATACAGCGTTAAACACACAGCTAACAAGACAATGCCAGATAACTGACAGCACGGGTGACAGATCTGGCCAGAAAACACAGCTCAGAAATGGAGGGTTTGCCAAGCAGATGTCTAATCCTCTGTGACAGAACGGAAAGGAGAAATACGGATAGCCACAGTCACTCCCGGTGACAGCGGCATGCGCGTCCCAATTATCAGCAGAACCAGTAGAAAGAAGGTGATCAAGGCTACAGCAGCGCTCCCCACCATCGCCACCAGACACTAAATGACACTTCCACACCTACCCATGAGAGCACGTGCCCTTCAACTGTGTAAGGATCATCTGCCGAAGATGACTACATGCTGGGTCATACGATAAACAAGGTCAGCAGACATCAAGCACAGTTCTTTCACCACAACGGAATTAAACCAGAGATAAATCACAGAAGGGCATCTCAACATATTTCTAAAAAATCATTGAAAGAAGCAGTCTTGGAGAGATTAGGAAATATTTGTAAACTCAGAAACAATGAAAATGTATCAAAACCCATGGGGAGCAGATACTGCGGCAGTGCTGAAAAGGGAAATTTACAGAATTAAATGCTATTTAGTTTGTTTTATGGGCAGGAGTATTTTGCCTGCATATATGTCTGTGTACCACATGCATGTAATGCTCATGGAAGCCACAAGAGGGCATCAGATCCCCTGGACTGGAATTACAGGCGTTTGTGAGCCAGGATTCCATAGTGAGACTGTCTCATAAACAAAAGCAAACAAACAACGAACCTAATACCAAAGTATACCAAAAAAAGAGAGCCCACAAATTTTCTCTCAATTGTCTATTTCCCCAACTTCTTTGTGCCTCATAAAACACAGGTGCTTAACAAAGGTGTTCTCAAGACACAGCTTGTAACCACCACTCAGAATGGGGTTAAAATAAACCATGCAATTGGGAAGCTAAGGCAGGAGAGCCAGGAGTTTGATGTCAGTCTGGGTTTACACAGAAGCTTATCCAAAAAGCAAGTAATAAAAGAGAGAGAGAGCGAGAGAAAGAAAAAAAGGTACATGGTAAATTATATGTTCTGTATTTTTACCACAATTGGGCTTATTTTTTGCTTGCTTGTTTTGTTGGGTTTTGAGTATACCTGTGTGTGACTGTTTTGAGATTACTTATTTACATTTTTTCTGCATGCGTGGTCTGCCTACCTGTGCATGCCTGATGCCCACAGAGGCCAGAGGAAGGCAGCAGATGCCCTGCAACTGGAACTGGGGATGGCAGCAAGCCACTAGGTGGATGCTCCAAACTGAACCTCTGCGGAAGCAGCAAGTGCTCTGAACCATTCCTCCGCCTTCCAGGTTTGTTTCTTTGAAACAGGGTCTCACACAGTCTCTGAAGGCCTCAAATTCACTGTGAGGCAAAGATGACCAACCTTGTATTCTGATCCTTCTACCTCTACCTCCCAAGTTCTGGGGCTGAAGTCTGTCAGGGTATACCTGGCTCACTCGGAGCTGGGGATGGAACCCAGGGCGGCCAGTACTCTACCATCTGAGCTGCAACCTCAGCTTCAATATTTTTTTTTTAATTTCCCGTATGTGTGTGTGCTTATGTGCATACCATGGGCTACATATGAAGTCAGAGGACAACTTGTTAAAGTTGGTTTCCTCTTTCCAGCATGTGGGTTCTAGAAGCGAGACCATGTGCCCACTGAGCCATCTCACAGGCCCTTTTTTCCCAAAGATAGGACATGTGGGTGCAGTCCTCGTTACCTTCTAGCACTCTGTCCTTGCAGTACACTAAAGAAGCTTTCTGTTGAAAGACTAAAGATCAAATAAAGGCATTATACTACTATGCCCTTCCAAAGCTCAGAAGCGGTCAGCTAAAGGCCAGTACCTTTAATGACCACAAGAAAACCCAGTCACACACTGTGGGAAAGAGCTGTCTTTGTCATAGTATTGACCACAGTTTTTGGGTTTTATCTGAATTATTTGCATTTGTAAGGAAGACATTATTTTCATCACAGTTGGGTAATAAGGAACAGTAACCAAAAAAACATGAATGTAAACTACAACTAAAAGTTCAAGATACTCAGAGGCCAAGGCAGGAAGATGGAAGATATGGGGCTAAGTGGAGATGGAGGAGACCGGGCTATATAAGGAGGCTCTGGCTCAAAAACAAAAGCTCAAAATGCGCTGATATCCTGACATCACTCTAAGGATGTAATATAAAGCCATTTCAATCGGTCTCAAAGGCTTTGTTTGTTTTTGTTGTTTTTGAGACATAGTTTCTCTGTGTAGCTCTGGCTGTCCTGGAAATCTGTAGACCAGTTTGACCTTGAACGCAGAGGTCCGCCTACCTCAGCCTCCTCCCCAGCACTGGAATTAAAGGTGTGCACAAGCACTGCCTGACAAAAAAAAAAAAAAATGTTAACTTTAAAACAAACAAACAAACAAAAAACTAGCTGAACGTTGTACTGGAGGCACAAGTTACCATGTATGACAGGAACCTGTTTATGACAATTAGTTTGCTGAATAATCTCACAGAGTGAGCACCAAAAGGAGAGAGGGGTGCTGAGCAAACAGGGTCACACCCCTACCAAGGCCCCCTGAATCACCTGCCCCGTAGTCCTCGGCAATGTAGCTGTGCTCCTGCAGGATTTCCTCCATTCGGCTGAGCGTGATGGCGGCCAGGTGCCCCGGATACTTCAGCTGGAGCAGCCGCTGCAGGTAGCCAGCCGCCTGACTTCCTCCAAGATTGATGCGTTTGCAGTTTTTGGCATCCAGCCTACGCCAGAGCAGTAAAGGACAACACTGAGATTCTGTGCGGCATAAAGGACAAAATGTGGGGCGCCGCCTGGGGGAAAGCTGGAGAATTTAATGCAGACAGAGAAGCAGACTAGTGGGGGGTGGGCCCACCTAATACCCTACATCGGCAAGACCCCCTTGGTGAAACCTCTTAGCCAAGGCCAGAATTCCTACTGCACAACCAGACAAATGGCCCTCAACTTCTAGCTGGAGGCAAAAAGGTTCAGACCAGCAGTGGTACATGCCTGTAACAGGAGCACCTGGAAGGCAGACACAGGCAGAGGTCAGGCAGAGGTCTATATAGTGAGTCTATATAGACAGACCCTGTCTCAGAAAAACAAAAACATCAAGACAAAAAGACAGTTTAACCCCAAACTGTAATGTGACCAGCCTGTAGTTCCTGAGGGTCCTAGGGTCAAGTAGCCTAGAAATAATAGGGAAAATGGTCAAGCATGCCAGTTCCAAGGGCTACTTGCTCAAGCTTGCAGAGAACTGCTTCCCTCCACAATTAGATGCATAATCACACACATACTGGCTACCAGAGAGGCCAGAGCCTCATCTTAGCAGGACTGCAAATACAGGTGTCCAGCTGCAGAGCCGGGGCTCCTGACTGGCACACGCCTCTTCGAGCAATGTGAGGAGCCTTCAAGGGCACACTGCTAGCTTTATCCAACGTGAAAAATGAGACTAAACTCCGAGACAGGAACGGACTAAAACTATCTCTGCCTCTGATTCAATTCCATTATTGCCCAGTATGTGTTAGGCAATATAACTGAAAATAAAAGTAGGGACCATATGCAAAAAACAATCTTAATTTAAAAATGATTCCAGAATACTAAGATGGTCTAAATTAAATACATTCAAGCCAGAGAAAGAGAAAGGGCTCAGCGGGTAAAGGTGTTTGCTGTCAAGACTGAGGTCTTTGAGTTCAATCCCTGGGACCCATAGAGTGGAATAACCTGATGTCTTTTTTTCTGTTGTTGTTTTTCAAGACAAGGTTTCTTTGTGTAGCCATGTCTATCCTGACTCACTCTGTAGACCAGGCTGGCCTTGAACTCACAGAGATCTGCCTGCCTCTGCTGCGATTAAAGGTGTGCACCACCACTGCCCAGCCCGACCCAACGTCCTTATACCATCCTCTGACTTCCAGATTCCCGCCAAGCACTTTAAAGTAGATACAGACAGACAGACACAGACACAGACACAGACACACACACACACACACACACACACACACACACACACACACACGTGCTCACACAAAAATAATAAAGATTTTTTTTTAAAAAGGAAAATAAATATAGTCAAATAACTTATTAAACATGTTTACTAAAAGTCATCTAGGGGCTGGTACTATGTTAACAATTCCCCCATAAATCAGAATTATAAAATTTTATAACTGTCAATTAGATTCAAGATCAACTTGAACTCCCTCCAGGAGGGCCCAAAAGATCGGTAAAATGACGTGCAAAGTCACAAGCTGATGTATGTCTGAGCTAGGCCCAGCTCAGCCCATTATCTGGAACTTATTAGACATTTCCAATAGACACCTTTGCATTCCATAAGTCCTAAAACAATGCTTCTCAAATGCCAGTCACAAGCAGAACTCACCTTCCTTCTAAGATGGGTAAAATGTGTGTGCACTGGTAGCCAGATGAAATGATGAGGCCACTGGAAAGGGCGTTCTTGGGCATGTTGTGGTAGAAACTGAACAGGCTGTCTATCCCATAGGCAACCTTAGGAATCCTGTAGCATTCAAAAAGGAGCTCCGACATCATTTGGCGGGAATAGAGGGGGTTGCACACGGCCTCTGTCAGAACTATGGGGTGATCAACGCAGCCCTACTTTGAAAGAGAAGCACAAATAAGATGAATGAAAACAAAACATGCATGAAACAGAAAAACAACCCCAAATCCTTATTGCAGGGCTGAATTTGTTTCTGATCTCTAATTAAAAACCTGACTGGGGGGCGGGGCAGGGGATAGCTGGAGAGAGAGCATTACAGCAGAGGAACCAAGTCTGTTTCCCAGCACCCTCATCGGGTCCGCTCATAACTACCTCCAGCAGCAGATCTCAGGCCTAAAGCACCTATACTCGTGTACACAAACACGCTCATACATATAACTTTGAAATAATAAATCTTTAAAAGGGTGATCGAAAGGAATTTTAAAGCAAACATTTCGCCTCTACTGGATGCTATTTTGGAAAGCATTATCACATGGTTAATTCAAGCTTTTTGTCTGTCTGTTTTGTTTTCTACCATAGGGTTTCTCTGCAACAGTCTGTCCTGGGACTCACTCTGTAGACCAGGCTGGCCTAGAACTCACAGAGATCTCCCTGCTTCTGGCTTCGGAGTGCTGGGATTAAAGGGGTGTGCCACCACGCCCGGCTCAATTGGCCAAACTGTTAATAAACCATGTTGGTTCTGTCTTCAAAATACTCGCAGGATCGGATCTCACTTGGATTATTGCAAACTGGCCCCTTGATACCATCTTCCGCGTACCCTACTGAAGATGAAGACCTCGCAGCTCCTAGCACACGGCAGGCAGACACACCTGAGGAGCTTAGTTCTCGACTGCCTGGAGTGACGGCTGAAACTGAGTGCGCCCCGCCCCGCCGGCCCTCACCTGCGAGGAGACGCCCAGGTGCTGGAAGCTGTAGTCCAGCAGCAGTTCCTGGAGTTCCAGGTTGACCGGTACGTTGCGATCGAAGGGCGAGCGCAGCATCCAGCGCAGAGGCTCCAGGCTGCCCAGCGCGTTGCCCACCTGCGGCCCCGGCCCGCCGCGCGCCCCGCCACGGCCGCGAGCGCACACGGCGCGGAACTGCAGGCGCGGCTCGGGGCCCGGATCCGGCCCGGGGCATGCCCACCCGGCCCGAGCCTGGAAGGACCCGTTGTCCAGCACCAGCGGCACCGGCTGCGAGCCGAAGGCCACCGGCCCGGCTTCCAGCACCGGATCCGGAGCGGCGCGTGCATCTCGGAAGCGGAACACATTCGTCTCCATCTTGGCTGGCACCGCCCCGCCCCGACGCCGCGTGCGTCACGAAGACACGGCCGGGTCTAGGTCCGGGAGCCCTGAAGCGTCTGGAAGCCTCCTCCTTACCCGAGGACTTGGTTTCCGCACCCGATTCGCTCCCGGTGCTCCCGGGGTGGGTTTCTAGGCCCCGCCGGGCGTCCTAAGGCTGCTCTAGCTGGTCCCCAACTGCCTCCGTGTGACCACGCCTCTTCGCGCTAACTGGCTGGGCAGGAGCCCCACCCCCAGTTCTGTGCCAGGAGCGAGGCCACGAAGCCCCGCCCCCCGCTAACTGGAGGCCCAAAGGCTCCACCCCCACCGGGCTGGACTCCGCCCCGTCCTGTCCCCTTAGCCCCGTCTGGTGCCTGCGGCTATACCTCACCTTGGAGCTCTAGTTCTTAGTTTTGTGACCACCTTAAGCTAATGTCCTTCCCCTTTGACTCTTCTTTTTCTGTTCATTTATTTACTGCATGATGGGTGTGGGAGCGTGCCAAGATGCCCGTGTGGAAGTCGGTTATCTTCACCCAGGGACGAAATAGGTTCCAGGGACGAAACTCAGGACTCTGGGGTACTACCAACTGCAGTTTCTTGGCGTAGCAGCTCACTATATATATTCATTGACCTTGGAAAAAATCATCAAGCTGTTTACTTGAGTACATATTTCAGCCGAGTGTGGTGGCACACTCCTTTAATCCCAGCCCTTTGGAGGCAGAGGCAGGCGGATCACTGGGCTCAAGGCCAGCCTGGTCTACAAAGCGAGTTCCAGGACAGCCAGCACTACTCACAAAGAAACCCTTTGTCGAAAAACAAAAACAAAAAAAGTGCAGGTTTCAGTATGTGTATTCCTGAACAAAATCTACAAATATATTTTTTCAATTCCCACGGGCTGTCCTCTCAGGAAATCTCTAATACCGAGAGAAGGACTGTTAATTATTGATTGACGTGTGGTACATATAAATATGTATTTTTCTTTCTTCCTCTTACTGATCTAACTGCCTCACGTGGTCATCTTGTTAGATGTAACCATGTCACCAAGTTCTGGCAGGTAGTGTGGGAGTGGAGGTGGTGAGCCATGCGTTTTAACAGAAAAGCGTGCTCTTCTTTACCTGTGTTCTTCTTTCTCCAAGTTAAGGGAGCCATCCGTAAGGACCCCACAGCTGTGCTTTTCGCTAACTGAACCCCAAACTCTCCACTAATTGTCTAAACATCTCCCAATTATTCCGCTCACGTGAAACATTTCCAGTGGACACAGTTGTTGATGCACGCCTGCAATCCCAGCACTTGCGGGGCAGAGGTAAGGGGTGAAGAGTTCCAGGCCAGCCTCATCTGCCCATCGAGTTCGAAGCCAGCCTCCGCTACATAATACCCTGCTTTAAACAAATATTAAATATACAACAACACACAGCACAGTATTGTTTCTGCTTCCAGGCAGAGCCAGCTTTGTTAGAGGCCCCTGTGGCTATAGCACAGCTGTCACGCTGAATTCTTGCTTTCCCATCACTTCACAGTTCATTGACTGTTTGTCCCATCTCTTGACTATATGTGATTTCTCTTCATTACACCCTTTGTTTCCTAACTTGGTTTGTTTTTTTTGAGGGGGTTGCTTTGGTTGTTGTAGGTTTTATGGCAAATTAGGGGTCAATTAGTTTTCCATTTTTTTTTGTTGTTGTTGTTGTTGTTTTATTTAATCAGGTCTTACTTTGTATCTCATGCTCGCCTGAAACTCCTAGTCATCCCCCTGGTATTAAAGTTATAGACATCACACACACACACACATGTTTTGGAGTGCATTCTAGAACAGCTTCTGGAACACAGTTGAGGGTATGGAGGGTAATTTTTCGAGACTAGATCAAGTGTCTTTATTTTATCCCATTGCCTGACTGAACATTTGACTGGATTCCCACCAGGAACGCTCCATCCTAGAAGACTGCCCTGAAAGGCTGCTGACCCGCCTCTCTCTTTCCTCTATTTTCTGGTCTTTGCAGCTGTAGTTTGGGGTAAAAACCCTGCTCCTTATTTTTCTTTCCTCAAGCAAAGTACTTATGTGACAACTGCTCTAGTTTTCAGTTTGTTTTCTTTTCATTTCTTTCTTTTTATCTGGAACTTGCTTTATAGACCAGGCTGTCCTGGAACTCAGGGATCTCTGTCTGCCTCTGCCTCCTGAGTGCTGGGATTAAAAGCATGCCCACCAACCAGCTGTTTTCAGTTTTCTTGATTGCTATATTTTCTTTCTATCTTCCTTCTTCCCTTCCTTCTTTCTTTTCTTCCTTCCTTCCTTCCTTTCTTCCTATCTTTCTTTCTAAAGCTTAGCTCCACATTTTATAGGCTGTTTATTTTGCATAATGTTTTAAGAAACTGGTGGCAGCCCACTGTGGTGGCACAAACCTGTAATCCCAGCACCTGGAATTTGGGATCAAAAGGATCCAGGCTTTAGATCCCAGAGTTCATGACCAGCCTGGGCTACACAGTGAGTTGGAGGCCAGCCAGGTTACCTGAGATCCTGTCCCTGCCAAAAAAAAAAAAAAAAAAAAAAAAAAAAAAAAAAAATTTTAGTATTTTTTTTTCTTTTCTAAAATGATTTGTTTGTTTATTTATGCATTGGCATTTTGCCTGCATGTATATCTATGAAGGCTCCAGATCCCCTGGAATTAGAGCCACAAGCAGTTATAAGCTGCCATGTGGGTGCTGGGAATTGAACCTGGGTCCTCAGGAAGAACAGACAGTATTCTTAACCACCAAGCTATCTCTCCAGCTCCCCCACCCCTCTTAAAGCACTTTTTAAAGAAACAAAAAAAAGGTAAATAAAAAGAGCCAGAAAGATGATGAGAATCATGATATAAATATCTGGTATGTAGTATATCTGACGGCAATCCCCGTGAAAGCATAGTTAGGCTTCCCAGGGGGTCGCGACCCACTAGTTAAGAACCACTGCCTTATGGAGCCCTTCAGTGGAGGCAGAACTCCACGGTTCTGTGTCAGCACTGCTATCCTGGCAGACAGGTGTTCTTTCCTCTTTATGTTCATTGTTCCGAGACCCTGGCCAGCATGACTTGGCATTACTGTATGGGATGGACTAATGTTTATAGATTTGCGTTTTTCTAAATAACCCGTCTTCCTAGGGCCAGCCATAAACTCCATCTTCTAGAGCAAATATACCATCAGATACCATGTCTGTCTTAGAATGTTTCCACTCCACACCTCTCTTTCCTGAGAATTAGTCTCTGCCAAGAGGCTCCCCACGACCTCATGCAAATCAACTACATGGCCACACCACCAGAATTCTTAGCCAGAAGCCAGGACCGGGTGTGTGCTCCCTCTGTGGGAGATGGCTCACCCATTTGGGTTGGGAGATCAGCAGCACCTTCAAAGGTTCACAGGGTGTGAGGTTAGATGGCAGGCTGCCTCCCTAGAGGACATCAGCCACACCTTCTAGCCTTATATTCTAGAACCTTGCCTAAAGCTTCCTAAGTTCTAGCCTACAGCAAGCCCCTAAATTCCCACCTTATACATCAGCACCTCCACTGACTTTAGTACCTAAACTCAGAGACCACCCCCCCCCCTCTAAAGGAAGGGATTTCCTTTGTTCTGTGGACTGCTGTTGGATCTCCTATCCCAGCTTCCCCCATGGTGAGTAGACAGTGCTGCTCAAAGCTACTTAACTTGAGCTCTCAGTTACCACTGAGAACCTCATGAGCTTGTGGCCAACTGATCTGGTTCTCATTTTAGTGTCTGGGGGCCTGTGTCAAGGCCTCTGTAACAAAGGACGCAGGAGCCTGTGAACATTCTACTAAGCACGGCTATGGGCACGCTTTGGCTCCTAACTGTCGGTGCCTGTGCTGTGCCTCACAGCAATCTGTGACCACGGGAACATTTTGAGGGCTGGAAGGGCCCGGAACTTCCAGCTGGTGGATGTTCAAGGCTAACAGTCCATACCCCCGTGCCCCTCCAATAGGCTCACTGTGGAACCTCCGGAGCTTCTGGTGGACTGAGCTCCAAGTTCCCAAATTAGTATACCTGCCCGTGTTGTCCTGTAAGCCGGTCTTCCCTTTCCGTCGCTTACTTCTCTGCTGTGGCTCAAGTCTTCCTAGTATTGGCCCCCATATGTGCTGCCCTATCAAAGACTTTGGAGGCGATCCCTATGTGCTGGTCTGTGGCAGGGAAACCCCCACTGCAGGCAGCCAGCATCCCCGTGAACTTGAGCTGCCCTTCTCTCTCCCTGTTCCCTTCTGCTTCATTTCTGTGTAGTCTCTGACTGCCCCCTTCAGAGCCTTCTACAGAGATGGGCCCCATCAGAACGCTTTTCAAGAGCTCGCTCCACTGCTCCTTGTGAAGCTTCTCCTGTGGCTTTGCCCCTAGAACTCGGGGGCAAAGGACGTCCACACGTCCATGCCTGTTCCAAGATGGCATTTGTTCAGAAAAAAAAAAAAATCTTTCCATTTCTTTCTTGAAGCCTGTTTTTCAGTTCCAGCACACCAGCCTGTTTTAATTCTACCTCCCAGGCTACCTTTCACCTAGCTCGACTCTTCCTTTGCCTGATCTTTAAATATTGTTATTACCCAAGGGCCATGATTTAGGATTTTTTTTTCACATACTTCATTGGCTGACCACATGCTTGTTTTCCTGTGGTTTCGATATTTCAATGTCCTGATAATCTTTTTGTAAATACATGAATCTATCTATTATCTACATAATCTATCTATCTATCTACCTAAAATACACTTAGGTAGGTTCTGCATATAAGATCTATGTTAATGAAGACATATAAGATTGCTATCTGCCTGGAAGTTTGCTATGCCTAAAGATTGTCACTGAGAGCCAGGTGTGTCGGCATGGACCTGTAACCAGAGTATTCAAGAAGTGGAGGCAGGGGGTGTTCAAGGCTAGCTTTGGCTACATAGCAAGTTTGAGCCAGCCTGGACTAGGTGAAATTCTGTTTCAGATACTAAACAATCTAGGTGTGAGGGTGCATGCATTTAACCCTAGCACTCTGGAGGCATAAGTATGGGGATTTCTGGGAGTTCAGAGCCAGCCTTGTCTACCTGAGTTCCATGCTAGCCAGGGCTGCATAGTGAAACCTTGTTAAACATAAACAGAAAATGATCGTTGCTATGAACACATTTATCCTTTGTTTTCATCCATTGATCTAGACACTAATCATTTCCTCCACTCCTCCACTGACTCATTTATCTATCTG